TCTAACTGTAAATAGATAGTAATAATTAGTTTGATAATAATGTAATTGTAATCTATTAAATAAAGTACGCCAATTCGTGTTTAAAAAAAAAAAAAAATATATTAGGACACCCTAATCCTAACTGTAAGCAGGAACATGCAAAAATTTACATTATTTATTGATTTTCAAATTTTGCATATTCCTAATTGCAAGTTTCTATGCTCTAATTAGCTACTAATACCATTAACTTTTTTATAATTTAGTAGATAGGCCAAAACAATATTTAAAATGCTAGTTTAAAAAATTTCACAGATTATATAAAATAAAGACTATAAGATTTTCAGATATTATATTCATATACATAATTTAAATATAAGTTAAAGTTTAATAAAAAAAACTTCTATTTGAAAATAAACTTTCTGTTATTCTTTGCTTTGCAAAGGATAGTTATGCTTTTGCTATAGCTGCCATCTCTGTTGCAGCATTTTCTTTACTAAAGCTAAAGAAAATAAATTTAATTAGTTTACTCTAATCCTAATTCTAAACCTAAAACAAGAACTTTAATTTAATATGGCAATAGATATTAATTATAAATATGTGATCACATAATCTGCAAAATTTTTTTGACTGGTATTGCTAGTCTTGTAATAGACCAATGCAGAAGAAATAGAAATCTAATAAGTTGCAAATTATATGCTTTTGATCAATCTAATAATAAAGACTACTTAACTTGTAAATTAAGTAAATAAATGCATAGATGCTATTATATAAAATTAGATTAATTGAAATCTTTAGCAGCTAACACTAATATTATCCTTCTAATTCAAATTACCTCTTATTATTAGGATTTAAACTGCAAGTTTTAGCATAATAACTAGTATTATTATAGTAAGAATATTTGCATGTTAACTTGTTTATAATATTAGATTCACAGAGTACTTTATTAGATTCAAAATTTTTTTAAGAACCTGGTCTATTAATATCATTCAAAGAATCTTGTAATTGTTTCTTTGGTTGACCATAGTGTGAAATAAGATAAGGATTCATTACTATTCTAAAATCATTCAAAGAATTATTAGATTTAATAGATTTTGACTCAATAAAACTATATATTAATTCAATAAATTTATTCATTGTATCAGTGTCAAAAGCAAGCTGAACCCTTTTTTTAGCAATCCTGATATCTTGACAGTATTTAGCTTTTTTGAAAGAGTATTGTTAAATTTTATAATTGAAACAATTTGGCCCTCAAAGTTGTTTAATAAGTGCAAACTTATTATTCAATTTATCATTTTGTATTTCTTGCATGTCTGTTATATTATTTGTAATTTGAACAGTAATTGGTTGCTCAATTGTACTTATAGAACTTGTAAACTACTATTGAGCTATTATTTGTATTTGGAATTTAATAAGTGAAAAGACAAATAGAACTGAAAAAAAGTGCTAATAGAAAAAGCCTTTAGCAATAAATAACATACAGGAGCATAAATAAATACTATTATCTAAAACTACAATATATTGTCTACTACAAGAAACTAAATTGTTAAATAATCTAATATGTCAAATTTCATAAATGTTTTGGCTTTTAACTAATTTAAGCATTGATGAAAGTAGTATACAGTTTTCCTAGTAATCATCTTTAAGAAATCTATTGGCATAATCAGAATATTTATTCTAACCAAATAGATAATTAATATGTAATAGTTTGTAAATTTTAAACTTAATACTAAAAAATAAACAGTTCTAAACTTTAATACTTACTTGATTAAAAGTTGACAAATTAATTCAGTAAGGGCAGTAAAGACATGATTGGTTAATTTGAAGTCTTTGAAGCTTAAGTGCTTTAGAGGTCATATATTTTTTTAAGATTTCATCAATCTTAAAAAAAAAGTACTATAGATTGTGAACAAACCAATAGATAGAAGCTGATTTTGGTATTCTAATTCATTTTGATGTTTGGCTTTATTATCAATTTGCTTTTCAATACTTTCTATTAATTTTGTGAATGAAGTTCATGCTTTAACTTTAGCTTTTAAAATAACATTAAAACTTTCAACATGTTGGGTACTGTTCATATCAGCACAAAATGTTAAATATATGTAAGCCAAAACCCATGCATGTCTGGATTTATATAATCAATTCAAGTACTGCTCATGTTTAGGAAAATTATTTAATAATTGTTGCCATCTATTCTTAAAAAGTTCTATACATTTACTATTATATATGCAATAAAATTATTTCAGGAATTTTTTGTATTAATTGTATGCAAGTTTTTTTGCAAAATGTTTATAAATGTTTTGTTTAATATAAAATAAACAATGTCTATGTTTGGTATTAGGAAACACACTATGAATTGCAACTGCCATCTTAGGATCACTATTTGTAAAGATTGTTTGTGAAGTAATGTTATTGTTCAAAGTTTTTAAAGACTGTAAGATCCACTCAAAAGTAGCTTGTATTTCATCCTGAACTAGTGTTTGTACAAGCAATCTTGTTCTATTGTGTGAATCAATACTTACAAAAATATTTAGTAATATATAATAAATATTGGTTTTACAAGTATTATAATTTACAATTACATCATAATACTGTTTATAAAGCTAAGATTGATCAGAACTCTGCCAAAACAGACAAGCCAAGAAAGTGTTAGCATCCTCAAAATATTATTAAACTTCCAATTCAGGTCCTTACACAGTTTTGAAATTAAATATTCAAGCATTATAGCAGCATCTTAATTCATATTAGAGGTAGTAGAGGTTTTATACTATTATATTGCATTATAAAGATTCTTGAAATAGATGTTAATTTCAGAAAACTTATTAACAAGATAACATTTTTGCTAGTGAGCATTATATTTATATTTTTGTATCATAAACTTTATTAATCTAGAACTTCTTGTGATAATTGCCACAAAGATGGAGCAAACTCCTCATGATATAGTATAAGGCTATAATTATGCATTTCAATAAGTTTATTAATATAAATTTTCTCTTCAGTCTTTCTATAGTTAGCATTATATCACCATTCATATTGGATTTTCTTTAAATTAGTTTTTTGGATAATATTAAACTTTAATTTTGGATTCTTAGAATATTTGTATTCAAAACATCAGTAAATAACATTTTCAATTTCATTGTCTATATTTCACTAACTCTTTATTAGTTTAAATTCAATTTTTTTACTATAATGTTCAAGGCTTTTTTCAAAAGATGTCTATGAAGGAAACTAGTGCCAGAAGTAATTGGCCTAATAACAATACCAGGATCTTCAGAATCAGTAGTGTTTTCAGAATCATTAGTGTCTTCAGGACTGTTAATATCTTTAGGATTATCAGTGTTTCTAAAATCATTGATGTCTTCAGAACTGGTAGTACTTTTAATTCATTTGTCCAAATTAAAGAATAAATAGTTGTAAATTGATGATCCAATTGCATTCTCAGCAGCAACTTGATCTTTTTAAATATTATAAGTATAAATTTGCTTTTTTAATAATAATTTACTATACAGAACAGAACAAAAAAAGTTATTATTACTGAATATGTCTTTAGTTTGAGAATTTAGCTTGAACATTGTTAAAAAAAAAAAAAAGCTAAAAGACACTTCTAAGATGATTTATTTTTAAGTCTCATTACAATTTGTATTCTCTAATTTTAAGTTTAAAATACCTATTTATGTATTTATTGTTAATTGTGTATTGCATTGTTACAATTGTTACAAAAAAACAAAAAAAAAAACTTATATGATCATTTGAATTTCACAGATGCTGTAAACTATTATTTTTCAAATTTCAACAAGTGCTGTAAGTTATGACTGTTCAAACTTCAACAAGTGCTGTAAGTATATAAAAAAGAGGTTTTTATTTTTTTATTTTTTTTTTTTTTTGTTATCAATGCTTCAGATTGTGATGCTCTTGCAAAGAACATCTATTAGTGCAATTTTTTTTACCTTCAAGATGAAGATTATTAGTGTTTAAGTTGGGCAATACAGTGTTTAAATTGGGTTTAGGTTGGGTAATATATAATGTTTTAAAATAATATAGTTGCTTATTTTAAAGCAATCAAGATAGTATTCTCATTTACTATAATCAAAAAAGACAGAAAACTGTAATATGTATTGATTTTCAATTATATATTATTATACATATTATCTTAGTAGAAGTTTAATCATGTAATTGGTAATATCACTACTGGCAAAAATAAAAAATATTCTATTTATTATTAGTTATTAGTTATTAGTTAGCTAATAGTTATATTATAGATAAAAGAATTTTAATTGCTATTAGAAATGTAGTACAGGTATAAGACACTGAATAACATCTGTGATGTTACAATCATCTTACAAACTTCAAGTACTTTTGTACAAGTTTTATATATTCTAGTATCAAATTATTATATCAAATGTTATAATATAAGAATTTCAAGTAAAAGTCTGCAAATTGTCTATTTTTAAAGTCTGACTCAGACTATAATTAGAGTTAAAATTTTTTTGCCAGCCTGGCCTGGCCTGCATATATTAAATTTTTTTTCAATCTGGTCTAGTCTAGTCAATTTGCAAAATTTCTTATATAATTTGGCAAAATTTTAAACTTAGCCCAGTTTACAATTATAAAATTTTGCTTTAGACCTAGCCTGATCTACAAATTTTTTTAGGCTAGACTGAGCTAAGCTGCAGAACCCAATGCAGACCTCTAATCTTAAGTATTTTTAACACAAACTCCAAATGTTCTTGCATAAATTTTAAGTATTTTTGCACAAATTTTAAGTATCATTGCATAAATTCAAGTGTTTAAACATAAGCCTCAAGTATTTTAAGTACAAATAACAAATAATACAAACAATATTTTCAGTTGTTTCTGCACAATCTTTATTACACCAAGCATAGTATTATTTAATGTTGTTTAAATCTTCATTATTCTAACTATAATGATATCTAATATTATTCAAACTTCTACTACTCTAAGTACAATATCAAGTAATGCTGCTCAAATTCTTATTGTCTTTGCAAAGTAAAAAGATATATAAAGAGAACTTTTTTATCTTTTTTGTCAATTCTAAATTTTTATACTTTGATCTAGACCTTTTTATCTTTATTTTTAATTTGTATATTTGATATTTCTTTTTTAAGATAATTTCTACAGACAAGATTATTACAATATGTTTGTTTAATAAAACTTAATCTATATACTGTTACTATCTTAAACTATTTATCTGTTATTATATAATAAAGTAAACTACTATACTTTCATTTTATATATATTTACAATAGTCAATTACAATATTAGGTAACCTTGTTACTTGGTTGTATTGTACCAAAAAGGCTACAACTTTGTAATAATATCTTAATAAGTTTTTAATTTATTTAATAATTTTACTATTATTAGAATTAGAAAGATCTACTTTACAACTTTTATTTAATGATTAAAATTAGGTTACTTAATATAATTTTTTATAAAATTAAATATAAAAAAATTTATCATTAGGTTTATATATAATTTTAAAATACTTGCCTCTATTTTTAAAATATATTATAAATAGTTTATATAAAAATAAAGTAAATAAAAGGATGTGGTGACCTAGTGAAATAGTTAGGTTGTCAACTCTCCAAGTGGTAGATTGGATGTTCAAATCCCATTGATGATGAAAATTTAAATTATCATCTATGTAATATTTATATTACAACAACTGTTATCAATGATTGGATTAGGATACCTGTAATGGCAGTCGCACCAGTATGACTGATAGGTCATAGGGCATTCATGTAACAGGTCACATGACATCGTCCTTTGGGACAAGGTTGTGGTTACACAAAGGAATGCAAACTGGCAATTAGGTGGTGCAAACACTAGATAAATCCTTGTGGCTATATAAATTTGTTAAAATTGAGTAACAAAAAGTTCATTTGGGAAGACTCAAGTAGAGAGGTAGTCAGATCTTTAATGACCCTACTGTAAAAGCTAGTCTTATGAAACAGATACCAAGGTTGAAGTAGCCAGATGGGTGAAAATGCCTAGATGGGAGATATCACCAACCAGGCTGCCAGATCGAGCCAAAGGAAAAGGATATTGAGCCAACCTGATATACCAATAGACTAGTTATAAGTTCTACTAGGCTATCTGGATTAAGAGTTTGGTGAACCAGCAAGGGTATACTAAAGTATTTCAGATATGCTGTGAAGTAGATGCTGAGGTTTGTGTGAACTCTACAAAGGCATAGCAGTTTAATGGTTAGCCCTGACTGCAAGTGTTGGTTCTGTCAAAGTGATATCTAAATTAGTTGTAAAAATGAGTACAAAAGGCTCTGAGAGGTTTACCTTGAGGATAAATTAGTCCTAAGGTTAAGATGATGATTTGGGCATCTGGGATAACACAGTGATGTTAATACAGGTTACAGGTTTAGAGGGTTTAAAGTGGAACACCTAAGCAGGAGTGTTAGATATAGCAATTGGTAGAAAACCTTCAGGTGGACTCCTTAAATAGGTAATATTGAAAAGTTATATGTATAGCCAATTGTATGCTTTTCTGTAGTGGTTCATTAAACCACAATACTAATAAGTAATTAATAAAAATTAAAAGACCAAAGAGGTTACCTTAATACCAAAAAAAAAAATAAAAATAAAATAAATAACTATAAAAATAAAATTGTATAAATTATTAGAAATATTTAAAAATATTCAAAATAAAACAAAAAATTTAAAAAATAAAAGTATTCAAAATATAATAAAACTGTTTAAAATAAATTAATACTAGTTAATAATATAAAAAATTTTAAATGTTTATTTTATAAATAAATTCAAAAATATTTAAAATACTTAGAAATATTTTGATATATTTAAATCAAAATTATGCAAATGTATTTAAATATTTGAAATTATTTCAAACTAATTACTGTTAAAATTTATCATATAGTTTATATTTTTTAAAAAAGTATATAAACTTATTCAACTCTATTTATTAAATTTTTTTTTTTTTTTATAATTAAAGTCTCTGCCTATAGGAATCAATATTTTTATTCATATATTTGAACATGAGTGCCTCCAGAGGCTCTTTTATATTGAAGGTTACAACTAGCCATATGTGCACTTTTGGTGCCTAATTTAAGTAGTCTGTCTATACATTACTATACAAGTTCTATACTAGATGCTATATCTGCAAGTCAAGTACAGATTTTGTCTATTTAAACTCTCTGCATATGTAGTCTATCATGTCTTATAGTAACATCTTCAAGACTATATTTATCCAAAGTACCCAATGTCTTTGAGCCTTTTAGAACTAGTTTATTTTCAACAGAAAACTTACTAGAATCTTCTATATTCTACATATAGCTGATCTAGTTTTATGTAACTCACTATAGTTGCCTAATACTTAAGTCATAGAGATTACCTGTTTAACCACTATGTTACACTATTTTTACTTTTATAAAGTTTACTAGAACTTCAGTATCTATCATTATAATGTCTTTTTTATCATTTTCTACTAACTATTACTTAAGACTAACAAGACTTTTCTGACTTCCAATTCAGATAGCCCAGTGTAGTATACTTATATATCTTTTTTTTTTTTGGCAGTTCTAACAGCCTAGTTGGTTATATACTTTTCTTACATTTTGTTATCTGATTTATCTGCCTATTCCTTTAAAGATGTTTTATAAGCTTCTATCAGTCTGACTATACTGTCAAAAGTTCATGCTATCTCTTTATTTGGGAATTTTTAAGTAGACTTCTAACTTTTTAGTTTCTTAGTTTATTGCACCTGATGGTCTTATCATAGGTTTGCAGTAAAGTCTTATATGATACTAGTTATATATTTCTCTATATATATATAATGTTACACTTCATATAGATGTTCTGAGTTTTCATTTGAGATAGTGCAAGTTAAGGTTACAAATATATTAATTCAACTAATTGTCAAAAGACAGTTTGTTATAATACAGATATAATTTTTCAAATTTCATTATAGATGAAATTTGAACACTAGACCTGTTACTTGGAAGATGACAACCTAACTACTATACTATGATTATTATCTCCTTTCTATTTATTAATTAGATTTTATAATATATAATTTAATATATGAAAATTTGAAAAATAGTTCTATTCTGGCAACTTGTATAGGGTATTTGGAATCATAACATGTAATTCTGGTTGTACTAAGACTAACTTTGAGAGTATGCAATGTTATACAAATAAATTAGAAAAGTATATACTCTATAAGAAGCTCTGTTTGGAAATTCTAAGTAGAGAGATAATATGATCTTTGACAATACCATTTGTGAAAATCTTGATCTAGAAATAGAAATCTGAATCAGATAATCTGTAAATGCAAGAACTTAGATAAAGGGGTTCACCAACCTGACTACTAGTTGAACCAAGTATAAAGTTGCATTATATAGAACTAACTGAATTGATAATATAAAAGGACTTGCAAGAGTATACAAGGTACTGATAAGATTATAAAGAGAAATAAGAAGTTATATGAACTCTATAAGAATGTAGCAGTTTAAGAGTTACTCTGATTGCAAGTGTTGGTTTTGGCTATAGTGATACTGGATTAGCTGAAAATTGTATAACAGAAG